AGTCTGCATTGGTAGACCTTTTCAGGATGACTAAACTAATCACATGGGATGAGGCACCAATGGTAAATCGTTACGCTGTGGAAAATTTTAAAAGATATTAACTAATGAGATGTGCCATTTGGGGGAAAAATAATTGTATTAGGAGGAGATTTTAGTCAAGTTTTACCGATTGTTCAAAGAGGAAAAAAAGAAGATATAATGAAGGCGAGTTTGGTTTTTTCATATTTGTGGCCTTCTTTTACCCATTTACCATTAGTTCAAAATATGAGAGCTCAATTAGATCCATTATTTTGTAAATATTTACTTAGTATCGAAAATGGTACGGAGAAAGAACACTCATGTCGGATGATTAAACTTCCATCCGATATAACCATATAGTTTGAGGACGAATTTCAATCTTTGAGACATTTGATTAACGTGGTTTTTCCAAATATAGAAAATTTAGATACTATGATTAATAGAGTCATTTTGACACCGAAAAATGAATATGTCGATCAAATAAACAATATTTTACTAAAAGAAATTCCTGGGAAGATATTTACATATTACAGCTTTGATGAAACCATTGACAAATCCGAACAAAGTATCCAAGAAGATTTTCTAAATACGCTAACTCCGAATGGTATTCCACCACATGAACTTACATTAAAACAAAACTATCCCTTTATGTTACTTCGAAATATTAATCTATCTGAAGGTTTATGCAATGGAACAAGACTTATTTGTCGAAGATTTGAATGAAATGTGATTGATGTAGAAATTGCTATTGGAGAATACCGTGGAAAGCAAGTATTTTTACCTAGAATTCCTTTTGTACTGCTTGAAAGTGATAAAACTTCAATTCCTTTTAAAAGAACTCAATTCCCAATCCATCCATGTTTTGCAATGACAATAAACAAATCCCAAGGTCAAACTTTATATTATGTTGGGCTTTATCTTCCAGAACCTGTATTTTCTCACGGACAGTTATACGTTGCTTTGTCAAGAGCCAAAACAAGTAAAGCTATTAAAATTTTGATAAAGCCATTAGACAAACCTACAATACGTAATACATGCACAAAAATGTCGTCTACCAAGAAATTCTTGCTTTGATAAGATCTTCATAGCCTTTTCTAAGAGCATTTTCAAAATACTATGAAGTATATGTTTTATAAAAAATTGTTGGTTCTTGTCAATTGTCCAAACTTTTATAATGTTTTGTTAACTTGATTGTGTTGTGTTAGACTATTGATTTAGAGGATTACTTTCTTACCAGATATAGCTTTTGTTGTATATATAAATACTATTTTCTTATAAACATTTAATAACTGTTCTAGAATATATTGAACTAAGTGTACATATTAATTTCTTTGTTTTGGCCAACTATATCTTAGACCACAATTTTACCTGCCAACTTTTCAGTCAAGTTTGTTTTATTGTTGATTGTATTTTATCCAACATCAAAAGTGATCCCTTTACATTGTTTTTTGCATATTTTCCTACTACTTAAACTTCATATGGTAAATTATTAGCCTTCATATCTTTTGTTTTAGAAACAGCCTATAGATTATAAATCATTATCTTTTAATTTTTGTAGTCATATAGTGCTCTCTGTGTATTAATGCAGTGAGATATTTAAGTTTTGAGATTCAAGATTGGTGACTAATGAAATAAAGAATGGATCAGTACAACATTCTGGAGAAAATTGCTCGAGAGGCTTTTGGGGCAGCCATTTTGATCAATTGCAAGCCAGAAAGAAAAATTTATGTCATTTGAAATTATATTAGTTTTATTCATTTTCGTATTATTTTGCAAAAATTGTATTTGAAGTACGCAAAAATCTAACAATTTTCCCCCTTACTCTTTGAAATGAAAAAATTAGGTATGTGCTCATCTAGAGGTATACTGATGTATATTACTTTCGATAATTATTTAAATTTTATTTTTGTTTTATTTTATAAACTTCATGATTAAGGAATTTTTTGGTGTACTAATTTCTGTTAGATAATATTGGATATCTTCATTTTTTTTTGAGTAATTTGCTTTAGTAACCTCAGTATTGGTGAACGAACTTGTAAAAATTTATTGTCGTTAAGTTAATAGAATTATTTTATTTCCATTAACTGATCACAAATGATAATAGGAAAATCAATATGTTAACTCAATGTTAAAGTTCTTCAGCTGGATATATGAACTGAGGATGCATATTTAAGTCCACATAATGTCTTGTGCATCAAGTTGGATCAATACTCCAATTGTCTTCATCTATTTCTCTATACCTTATTTATTTGTTAGAGATTAATTTGAGATCAAAATGAAGTGGTCTATCTTCCAATTTTACTTCCAATGATCGTTCTTGTTTGAAGATTTAGCTTTTCTTTTAGATATTGTTTTGATTGGTTCATGGGCAAAACAACCAATGCGATGGGCAATAAGGTTGAGGGTGGCTTTATATATAGCACAAGCATTGGACTGTTGCAATAGTAAAGGCTGAGCACTATATCACGATCTGAATAGTACAAAAGTCAAATAAATTCCAACATTTTTGTAATTGTGGTCCCATTGACTTTCTCTCTCTTCATTCACATTCACTCTTTCTCATTTATGTTGCTTTTTTCGAAATTTCTTTACGGAGAAACCAAAAGAAATCGAGCCGCAAGAAGGAGAAGGAAGGTAAAATTCAAACAAGTTACTGAAATTGGTATGTTGTTATGGTTGGTGTAATTAGGTGTATTGAGATTTTAAGGGTTAATTATTGCGATTGATTTGTTTCGATGCAATCGACAAATTTGGTTGAAAGTGATGAATTATTATTCACGGTTGAACTGTTTTATCTTTAAGTATGATATTTATTTTTTTCTTTTTTAGATTTTGTTCAATTTTGTTTTAGTTTATTGTTTGTTTTGTATTTTTTTCCTAGAGTTTTTATTATAGTATTTATCATTGAACTATTCTTAGGAAATTGCAAATTGCAAATTGTATTTATTGTTTTTACGTGTATAGTGTTTGATTGTATTTTTTTGACTGCAATTGTGTTCTTTTCTTAGGTAAATTCTTCCGATTAAGTTGTTTAGGTATTTGTTCATATGTTTAGGTAGTATGTATATTTTCAACTTTTCCTTATTTATTTATAGTAATTTGTTAAATTTGTAATAGTTGTCGGTTTTTGAGCTTTCTTGCCTTTATCTCATCACTATCAGGAATTTTTCTTTTTCGATCGATTGTGAATGGAAATTCTAAAGAGTCTAAGGCAATTGAGATGTATACCTGTAAGTATAATTTTCACAGTTTCAATTTCTTCATCTTCTGCATATTTCTTACAGTTGCTTCAATTATATTGTCAATCATTGAACTTAAAATACCTAAAGTTTGTTCCTTTGATGTTCTTCTTGTGTATCCTTTATTGAATTGTGTTGGAGAACCACAGGCGAACGAGGATTTTGGGAAGAAGGGAGTTTGGTGGCTGTTTGCAAAAGTTCTTCAGTCGGCTTCGCTGTTGCATAAATATATTTTTTTTTAGGTATTTAGCTAAGTATTTGTTCATTTTTGTGTGAGTTTGTGATGATTTGTAAAAATTTAAGGTTTTAGCTTTCATGATGTTTGTTCTTGGACAAATTTTGTATATATATTTTTTTTGGGGGGCTAATTTTAGTTTCTCTTTGGAAGAAATAGAAACAAACAATTTATTTTTTTCTTCGCCTCAGCATCCATCCACTCTGCACATTT